GATTCCATCTCTTCAGTAGTTTTTTTGTTTATATTTTTTGCACTTTTTATTGTGATTTGGATAAAAACTTACAGAGCAAATTGGCTTTCTATTCAACAGTTTATATACATTTTGTTTTGTGACATTGACTGCAATTCCCACAATTTAATAGTACTCTTCCCACTTCCTCCCGGTGTTTATCATTTCCATTTGTCTTTTCCTATCCCTTCTGGCCTTCTGAGCTCTATCCTTAGGCAAGAGCTGCCCTTTTGATCTTGTTTTGTTGGTTGTTCTAGGGAGTACATACCTCCCTGATGTTGCTGTTCACCTTGTAGGCCTGCCTATTATTAGGCTAAAAGTTGAGGCCCTGAAGGTGAGTTAGATTCCATGCTTAACGGGTGCTGCCATAGTCTTTGGGGGTTCCCCAATCTCTATTATACCAATAAGCCTTGCCATTTTTATTATTTTGAGTTCCACATTTTTCTCCCCCTCTATCCAAGACTTCCTGTTGTGATCCCTTTCACAGAAGTCACCAGTGGTAGCTGGGCATCATCTAGGTCTTCTGGTATCAGGGTTGTGGAGGCTGGAGTCTCTTCACTTGTTACGGCACTGCTGGGACTTTTCTATTTCCTTTTGATTCAGTGTGGCTTAGAACTTGTCCATTTCATCTCAGTTATCCAGTTTTTGGCCATACAGTTGTTCATACTATTCTGTTGTAATTCTCTTTAGTTCTGTTGGGTCAGAACCTTTACTTCAACAGATTTTTATTGCGTATCAGAAGTACAGCAGGCAGTGTTCCAGATGCTCAGGACAGATCAGAAAATAAAACAAAGATTCCTGCTTCCATGGAGTTTACATTTTCAGCAGAGTGAGAAAGATACAGAAGGAAAGGAAGTAGATACAGAGGATGAGAGAAGGTGATCAGTGTTGCAGAAACAGAAGACAGAGCAGGGTAAGAGAGCTGAGCAGCTGAAGTCAGGCAAAGGGGGGTGCACTTTCATTAGTGAGTGGGTCAGCCTTTGAACAGGGGGAGATGTGAGCAGTAGCTGGAAGGAGGTGAGGACAACAGTCCAGGCAGAGGGAGTGGAGTGAGCAGGGCAGAGAGGCCCGCAAGTGGGTCAGAGTTGCCAGACGGCCTGTCAATGTGGGGTGTGTGTAGGGGTCTGTGTACAGACACCAGCTTTCACTCTGGGTGCAGCGAGCTGCCTCGGGGAGTCTGGGCAGGGGGGAAGTGGCTGTGGCTGTCCTTCTGGGTTCCCTGTGGTGGCCCGTCATGCTCATAGTCACGTGAGCTGGAAAATTTGGATGCATCCTTGTTAAGTATCTCAGTCCATTGTCTTCTGTCCTTCAGTGTTTCTGAGGAGAAATCATTTGTATGTAACCTTTTGCTTCTCTGTTGCTGCTTTCAGGATTCTCTTTTTATTTAGTTTTTGAGAGTCTAACTATGATATGTCTTGGTGTAGATCTCTTTGATTTTATCCTCCTTGGGGATCTTTGAGGTTCTTAGATTTGTAGATTCACATCTTTCATTAAACTGGGGAAGTTTTTTGCCATTATTTCTTCAAAACACATATGTATACATTGCTTAGCATCTGTTTTGGTAACATCCAACTGTATATATGTCCATGGGAGGATAATGTGTTTTTGTTTTTGTTTTTTAAAAGGTAAAGCAGGTCTCCTTTTGATTATCATTTCCCTCTAATAGTTTGGGTTTTTTTTTCTTTTTCTTTTTTCTACTTTTTATTGTGATTTGGGTGAAAGTTTACAGAGCAAATTCGTTTTCCATACAGCAGTTCATACACATTTTGTCTTGTGACATTGACTCCAATTCCCCACAATGTAACAGCTCTCTTCCTACTTCCTCCCTGTGGTTACCTCTTCCCTGGGTCCTTCCCTCCCATGCACCACCTCCTAAGCTATCTTCCTGTACAAACACTGCCCTTCTGTTCTCCTATGATTGATCACTCCAAGGAGTGTATCTACCTGCTATAAATGTTCACTCCAACAGGCCATCTGTAGTTTGGCTGGAAGCCACAGGAGTGAGTTCATTTCCAGACCCGAAGAGTATCTTGGGGCCATAATCTCAGGGGTCTCACCAGCCTTTATCAGACAACCATCAAATTTGATCTTTTTCTTTTTTTTTATAAGTTTTGTTCCACATTGTTTTCCCACTCTGTACAGGATCTCCTGCACCTATTCTCCTCTGAGTGGTTGACTGTGGTAGCCAGGCACCATCTAGTTCTTCTGGTATCATGGTCATACAGGCTGAGGATTGCATGGTCTACCGGTTCCTTGGACTAATTGTTTCCATGCATCTTTGGTTCCCCTAATGGTTTTAAAGGTCCCAAACCTAGACTTTTGCAGCACCGGACCATGGATGTGAAATAAGCAGGTAAGGCAGAGGACATGGCTCTGAGTGTAGGCGCTTGGTCTTTGTCTAGCCGTCAGGCAGGCTACTTTGGTGGGGACTGTGGGCCCCAGGATGCTCCAGCTACTCAGGTGGGTAGATCAGTACACATGGCTGAGTGTATTCCATTCTCTTCCTACTCTCTTCCTCTTGCTCCACTCCCACCACTGCCCATTCCTCTGCCGGCAGCTCCAGAAGTGGCGACAATAGTGGCAGCAGTGGTGGTGACAGAACTGGAAGTGAGCTCTCACAAGGTTTTATGTGGTGTTCCCATAACATCTAAGTCACGTAATGTCCTATTTCACAGAACATATCGTGGATATTGAGGGAAGCATAATTTTTTCTTCCCCTTTTTCTCTTACCTCCTTCTGGAATTCACATGGCATGTATATTAGGTCTCTTGTAGTCTCATATTTCTGTTAAACTGTGCTCAACCCTCTTGAGCCTCTATTCTGTTACTCTTCAGTGTCTGTAATTTTAACTGTCATATCCTCTAATTCACTGATTCTTTCTTCTGTCTGATTAAATCTGTTGGTAAGTCCTACTCTTGTTTTTCCTTTCAGTTATTATCCCTTTCAGTTGTAATATCTCTGTTTTCAGATCTTTGTTTTGTTATACATTGTTTTCCTTATTTCTTTTAGACCTATGTCTATGTTTTTCCATAGTTCTTTAATTATGTTTAATGTCATTATATTATATTCCTCTGTTTTTTTCATCATTTGGTCATCCCTAGATTTGCTTTCATTCTCCTTGTCATGTTCATTTGGATGAGCCATAGTTGGCCTGTTCTTTGTGTCTTGTGATTCTTTTGTTGAGGTATTGGAATTTTTAAGGGTATTCACTTCCTCAGTTTTCCCCAGTATTTGGTGTTTTTGCCCATATTTCTTCTGCAAAAGACCCATAGATGAGGAAAGCCTTTGGCCTTTGCTTACCATTTTTTCTTGCTTTCTGTAACAGTTCCTTCTCCTTCCCTGGTTTAATTAGGATTTGAAAGTTCCGGATCTTTCAGTCTCTCCCAAACACGCCAGAGGATGCACTGTGGCAGTTTGTTCGCCAGCAGGGACCACCACTCAGGCAGATACCATGGGACCACCACTCAGGCAGATACCATATATTAATCAATCTGTCCACCAGGAGGTGCAGTTCTCTCTCTCTCTCTCTCTCTCTCTCTCTCTCTGGTTATAACTACCTTTCCTTCTCTGTTTCTGTAGCCACGTTTTCAGTTGGGAAACCCATACCCAGCGAGCCTTCTTCAGGGCTGGGTGTTGCCCTCCAGTTTCACCCGTTTTCCTTCCCTGCTTTGTGGGGGCTGATTATACCTGAGCTGGCATTCAGCAGAAGCACAGGCCAACTAAACTTCATTTCAGGAGGAGGAGGGGCTGGCACTCCCTGGATGGACTAATGATAGATCTGTGTTGGTTTCAGTGCCCGAGTGACCCTGTGTTGTTTGAGGGGGGCAGTTTTCACTTAAGTGACCCACCTCCTCACTCCACTGTAGGGAACCTTCTATAAGAGTTTGTATCAACCTTGTAGCTGACAGCTATGGATGGGGGAGGGTTGTCACACTCCAGATGCACCCCGGAGATCTCTGTCTTGTTGCTATCAGAGCCTACCCTGTAGTGTGTTGACTATAGGTACAGCTTCCACTGAAGATGCCTCCTTCCTAGCACATGGCAGACTCAGTGCCAAACTAATCCCCAGGGAAGTCGGTCCTCTTGGTTTCAGAGCCCTGAGCTGTGGGGTATACAGGGATGCAGGTAGAGTGCCTGTGGGAGCAGATTCCACTTTGGGCCTTCTGTGGCAGTTTGGAGCAGAGGGTCAGATCCCCATGAGGTCGGCCTTGTTGCTCAGAGTACCCCGGTAGATTGTTGTCTGTGTTGTGCTTCTTCCACCTAAGACTCCTGCTTCGTAGCACACAGCAGCCACAGTTAGTAGTCCTCAGTGACAACTGGAAGTGGGAGCAGACCAACCCTCACTGGCCCCCAGAGAGATTTGTCCTACTTCTTTCAGAGGCCAGAGCTATGGGGCACATAGGGATGTGGGTAGAGTGCTGACTGTGGGAGCAGGCTCCTGCAGGAATCTCTGTCACAGTTCAGAGCAGGCTCGTGGGTGACAGTATCTGGATGCAGGAGGTGTTAGCATACTCCAGCTGGGCCCCTGAGGAGGTCTGCCTTGTTGGTTTTAAGGCAGATGCTTGGGCTCCTGTCTCTTTGTACAGAAAGGGGCTGTGGTGGTTAGGGAAGGTTAGGAAAATGGGGCCGTCTTCGCAGTTCATAGTAGCTGACAGCCTGTTGGCTGAGGTGCCAACAGAGAGAGGTGCAGGACGGTGGGAGAAGCGACTTGTTGATTTGCTAATTCTTGCCTGTTTGCAGCTCCCTTTCCTCTGTTACCCAATTCAAAGTCTCTCTCTCAAAGCTTGAATGCCCTTTCCTTGGGGCTTCGGAAAAGTGTGTTCACAGCACCATCTTACCAGCATCTACGTGTGAGTTTGACATAGCTGATTCCGTCATTTTATTTTCAGTTCTTTAAATGACTAAACCCCAAATTCCTCCCAGTAGTGGAATGGAATTGTTTTTTACAACCCTGAGTTAACGTTGTGTATATTTGTTGGTAGAAAATGTGGAGCTCATACTGAAAACAATCAGTAACCAGCACAGTGTTGAGAGTCAAGACAATGACCAGCCGGACTATGACAGTGTGGCATCAGATGAAGACACGGATTTGGAAACCACCGCAAGCAAGGCAAACAGGCAGAAGGTAGGATCTCACACTTCACACAGAAATGGCACATGTCTCTTTGTAAACTGTTTCTCCTGAAAAGTTGCCTTGTTTGCAGATCACCTCAGAGCTAGGCCTGTGAAAGGTGCTATCAGCTCAAGTTGGGGTCACTACTAGCTTGGGCCAACCAAAAGGGAGAGGGAGCAGATATTTAAAAATAGGGCCCTTTCATCCCACAGTGAGTTGCTGAATCACAGCAGGTCTACAATTGTGAGTCTGTAAAACTGGCAAGTAGAGACTGGTATGTTCTTAGGATGAATAACACAAATGGAGTGACTTCTCTGGAGAATGATCTGTACTGAGTGAGACCTAGTCACTTTTCTGTGAGGATGACACCACCTAGTAGGTAAGCTAACTGCAGTAAAAGGTAGAAAGTGACACACATCACCAGAAGCACAAACAGAAGCCTAAGGACAAGGAGAGATGATGTACTGCTGAGAGGTGTCAGGAAAGGCTTGCTAAATGAGATGGTGTGGCAGGCAGGGTGGTCTAAGCAGAGGGAATGGGGAAGCCAGGGTGTCCAGGAGAAAACCTATTCATAAGGAGGAAAACCCTAAAAAGAGTGAGACTTAAACTGCAGCCAAGGGCTGGGACCACACCAGGAAGGAATACGGTGCCATGGAGCGGCCTAGACTCCTACAGGTGTGTGGAACTCAGGTAGCTTTAGGCAGAGCAGGAATGCAGTGATCAGAGCCATGGTCTGGAAGGACTGCAGGGGGGTCAGAGAGTAGAGGCAGGGAGCCTGGTGATGGTCCTCTTGAAGAGCAGATACATGCCCCCTAGGGCCTGAGCGAGGAGGGCCTGGCTGGGGGAGAGACTGCTCACGAGTGAGTCAACTGCTGAATCCCCAGGACCTCACTGGGACCTGGCCCATGGAAGGGTGTCAGCAAACATCTGAGAATGGGTGGATAGGAAGAGAGACTAGAAAGGTCTTGGCAGTACATCGGATGCGAGGAGATTAACTTAACAAGGATGCATCCAAATTTTCCAGCTCACGTGACTATGAGCATGACGGGCCACCACAGGGAACCCAGAAGGACAGCCACAGCCACTTCCCCCCTGCCCAGACTCCCCGAGGCAGCTCGCTGCACCCAGAATGAAAGCTGGTGTCTGTACACAGACCCCTACACACACCCCACATTGACAGGCCGTCTGGCAACTCTGACCCACTTGCGGGCCTCTCTGCCCTGCTCACTCCACTCCCTCTGCCTGGACTGTTGTCCTCACCTCCTTCCAGCTACTGCTCACATCTCCCCCTGTTCAAAGGCTGACCCACTCACTAATGAAAGTGCACCCCCCTTTGCCTGACTTCAGCTGCTCAGCTCTCTTACCCTGCTCTGTCTTCTGTTTCTGCAACACTGATCACCTTCTCTCATCCTCTGTATCTACTTCCTTTCCTTCTGTATCTTTCTCACTCTGCTGAAAATGTAAACTCCATGGAAGCAGGAATCTTTGTTTTATTTTCTGATCTGTCCTGAGCATCTGGAACACTGCCTGCTGTACTTCTGATATGCAATAAAAATCTGATGGAGTGAAGGTATTAGTGAAAGGATAAACAAAAGAGAAAAATGAATGAACAAGAGAAAGGCAAACAAGACAGAGTCATTTCAAGAGCCCCTATTGGAGAGGCTCTGTAGACACGCTGCCTGTTCTGTTAGAAAATAGTGGCTTAGGTTTTTTAAAGTGTTATCACAACCCTATTATGTCAGCTAGTGCTACTCTCAGAAGCCTGGATTTGGTTGGCTGGATTGTGCATGCAGCTGGCATTGTCAGAATTTGAAATGCTCTAGCTGTTGCTCTTTAATGTTACCATCGACTCAGATTGTGAACGTTTTCCCCAATTTATTTTTAGAGCCTAGATTCAGATTTATCAGATGGACCAGTCACTGTACAAGAATTTATGGAGGTCAAAAACGCTCTAGTGGCTTCTGAGGCCAAAATACAACAGCTAATGAAGGTGAATAACAACTTGAGTGACGAGCTGAGAATTATGCAGAAAAAGGTAACATGTTCATAAATTGCCAGGGTGATTGACTCATTCATCCTGTAGTATGAGGTAGAACTGCAGGCACAATGCTTGTGGCCAGAGGGAAGAAAAACATGTGTTGTAACAGACCTGAATGTCTTTGGGCCAGGCTATCTGTTTGGAAGCAGGATGTGTTTAGATATTTCAGTTAAGATTTATTTGATTTTAAATATATCCAGAGTGAGTTTCCCAAGTAGGAGAAAGGTAACTAATGACCTAGTAAGTCTTGGTGTTAGTTACAGCAACACTTGTGCTGTTCTGTGCTTCCTGGGACCCTGAGTACCACTGCATGGCTGTGATTCTTCCTGTCACTAACTTTAACAAACAGTCACGCCATGAAGCCGGAGCAGACGAGCACGGGGCATGTACATGTGCAGACCCCACCCTGTGGCACGCAAGGGCTGCTTTGGCAGGTCACACTTGCTCAGAATTGTTAACCACTTCTACCCTGGCAGCCCTGTTCCACATCCCACTTTGTTTTTCACCAGTACTTATTTGTGATGTCCTCAGAGCCTAGAGCAGGGCCTGCCACACAGTGGGTCCTTGATACATATATGAAAATAGTTCATTTACATTAGCAAGAACTATGTGCTAGCAAGAAACTATCCCATTTGTTCAGCATTTCTCATTCAGTATCTTTTGAGAAAGTCAGTTATACTTGAGTATGTTAACCCGTAAAAGGAATATGGCTACTAATAGCAAAGCGTACACTCAAGAGGAGGATTATGAATGTCATTCTTGATGAGAATGCTAAGAAAAGGAAGTTGAAAAATTCTAGATTATGCCTAAGATTTTATAGGTATTGTTCCCATTGTTCCATTTTCTTAAAAAATGGGATTTTGTCCACTTCCCTGAAACAGAAACAAACCATGTGTACAGCCTGTGTCTTCACGCTGTGATTTGAAGAGTGATGTGTTTCAGATCCTATTACGAACTGAGGCCATGGTGTGCTTCATTTGTGACAGCCCCTTTTCCTAAAGGAAGGCCAGGGGAGGGAACTACACACACCTTTGCTGAGGGTCTGGTCTGGGATCGTTGGGATGTTGAGTCCTTCTGAGATAAAGGGCTTACATACCTACAATTAGAAGGCAAAGAGAATCAGTCAAACTCCAAACATACCAATCCTTCTCATCAGGCAATTACCTGGAATTGGCATTGCGGGTGCTTGGCGGCTGTGGGGAAAACCCTCACTCTGTGCACCAGCCTCACTGCGGGCTGGTGAGTGGCCAGGAGTGAGGCTGCTGTGGCCCTCGCCTCACAGTCTGGCATGCTCGCAGCCCTTTACCTTTCCTCGAGATACGAGGCACTCTTTGCCCTGACAGATAGGACTTGCATTTCTTCTCTTTTCTGAAACACTTTTTGTTAATGGATCATAGTGTGTCCCACTAATTGAACTAATCATTTTGTTGACAAGACTTTTCTCTGAAACATGCTGACTTTGCCATTGTCAATAAATCTACTAAAACATCACCTTTTTAAATTCCATAGTGCTCTTTTTAGTATTTGTAGAAGGCACCAGAAATAGTCTTACATCTCTGACAGTAAATGTCTTAGACATCTTTAAGAAAATGCAGAGGGAAGCAATTTGCCATTGTTCAGTGATCGTCTCTCCCAGTCTTAGAAAAGCTTTTGATTGCTGAGCCTATTGAAGGATTTGTAACTTCTGTTTACTATTACACTCTTCCCAAACCAAAAAGGGTAGCCCAGGCATTACTAAGATAAATATCATTAAAATTTTCCAAAGACATCTCTCTAAATATAGAGGACTAAAATTTATAAAAATTGAGACCAGGAACTTTTTTTTTTTTTTTTTAGGATTTGGGTGAAGATTTACAGAGTAAATTCACTTTTCATACAGCAGTTCACATATACTTTGAGACCAGGAACTTTTGCTTATCAAGATACATTCAGACAAAATCCAGGCTGCGTGTTGCAGAGGCCTGAAAAATGTTCACATAGTTTCTTATTTCATGGCCTTGTTAAAAGCCTATAGCAGAAATTTTCATGTAGACAAGAGTGTCCAAACCCACCGCACCCTGGGTACAGGAAGCCTGGTAGTGATGTAACTCTTTGGACTGTGGCCAGTTCACTTTAGGACATGGGTCCCTTGGTAAATAGTTTTGACAGGCACCTTATGCCTGTCTGGATCCTGGAATATAGGAATTTTCAGTGGCTGCTTGTCACTTTGCAGCTGTTCTTTCTTTGGAAAGGGAGTTGGCAGATAGAAGTTATACCCCAAAAGCCTTTATGGAGTAGAAGCTGCCTGTCATCCCATAGTGGGTCACTCTTAGGACACTGAGGTTGAGTATTTCTGTGGATGAGGCAGGAAGTCACACTTTCATAGAGGTTCTGAATGATTCACAGAAAGTACATAGAGTTGGTTAATTTGCAAAGATGTATTGGTTTTATTTCAAAGTTAGGTAAAGTTTTATATATATATATGTATATATACATAAATATATATATTTAACAAAGTAGCATGATTTGTGTTTGATCTTTCACATTTAACAGCTGCTTGGAAAGGATGCTAATTAATGAAGAGGAGCTCCTATTGGTGTATTTGCCACAGATCGGTGCTTTCTAAAAAAAAGCTAAAAGTAACTTCTAACACTGAATGGGTTTGCTATTGAGAAAGTTATGATCTTCTCGAGCCAATACAGTTGCTTGTGAACCTAAACCTTGGCAACTTGGTCAGATTTCACACTTACTGTCAAAGAGTAGACAGCTGACCTCACACCACACCCAGCTTATAAATGGTCGCGGAAGATGAAGGCGCACCTGAGGGGAAAGAACATGGTGCAGGATGGACTCAGTGTGTGTTTAACACGGCAGACGTAAAGAGTAACATGAATCCTTGTCGACCCCTTAACTCTAATCCTTCAAACACCGTGAAGCAGCCTGCTGGTGAGGAGCGGAAGGAACATGCAGGGCTTCCAAATGACAGTCTCTAAAACTAAGATGGGCTGGTGCCAGGCAGATTAGAGTGCTTGAAGCCAACAGCACCATGGGCGTGTTTTTGTTTGACAAAACCCAAGGAGAGAGAGGTCAAAAATTCCAGCCCTGGCTGAAAGATGATCGCTGACCAGAGGGAAGCCAGCACGCCACGCGGAGTGTTCAGATGAAGATATAAACATAGTTCCATAGGCTTACGCTTCTCTTCGAGATACATTAAGATAGCAAACTTACCATAATTGGGTTCCCTCGATTTAAACAAACAAACAAAAAAGTGCTAAATTGTTTGGACTATTAAGAGTATTATGTAATAAAAACTTGTTGATCATAATTTTTCTTGTTGGCTTCTTGGAAAGCAGTAGCTAATTTAATACTCCATACGCTGAACTTTGCTGTCTTTCTTGCTTTGCAAAGCACCTCTAGTTATCTTCGTGCTGCTTCCATGGTGTCTGCTGTCATTTTGGCCATTTGCAAATTGCTCAGCACTCATCTGAAGAGTGAGTTAGAGGAGTGAGCCTAAGTGATGTTTTAATGATCTCAAGCCCTTGCTGAAAAACAGCCTTAGAGTAATCCAGAGTGCAGCTCGCCTACGAACATTCCCCAGCTCCACCATGCCAGATTTTTAAGAGCTTAGACATTTGCCTCTAGTTTTACAAAGTTCAAAGCTGCAACTTTTCAACATTCAGAAATAAAACTATTTAGCTTGCGTAAATGATGCGCTGAGTTGATTGTGTTTCACTCATTCTAGAAGAAGAGACCCGTGTTGATAAGCTGCCTTTTACTCTCAACCCAGCTAGCTATAACTGTTCTTATTGTTAAAGCCAATAGTTGTATGCGTTTACTTGGTGTTTGCTTGTTCTGCTTGTTGTAGAAAAACACAGTCCCACTGCCAAACATTTCTTTCAGCTTCAAACACTCCAGAGTGAAAATTCGAACCTCAGGAAACAGGCTACAACCACTAGATATCAGGTGCACATGGGTTCTGAGTACACAGACCCGTCCAACCACTCTTCCTTAAAGCGACGTCCGTCCGCCCGTGGCAGTAGGCCCATGTCCATGTATGAGACGGGATCAGGGCAGAAACCATATCTCCCCACGGGAGAGGTGAACCACCCTGAGGAGAGCAGGACACGGCTCCAGCCCTTCCCCGCACACGTAAGTAACACCACTGGCGCTTCTGCTGTTCACCCTTTGCCCAGCCTGACCACCGCATCCCCCTTCCTGAACCCACGGCTCTGCTTGGCCAAACCGGGCTATGAGAATTGTCATTGTGTTTGCTGTATTAACCTGTTAAGCAGTGCTTGCGATGTTCCCACAGGGCCCTTGATAGGAAGTTTGCCAACAGAGTTGGGGCTTCTGGCTCTTACCCAGCTCTGCCCCCCCCCTTTTCTCCCCTGTATCCGTAATGTATTTCCCAACCAGCCAGTATTGGAACGTGTTTTCTGTGAAGCTTCCTTCCCCACTTCTAAAAGCAAAAACTATAAAGCTTGCTAGCACCTTCCTCAGTACAGACAGGGACGAGCCCCTTTTTAGTGTGGAGCCCTCAGAACCCAAGGTGTCTTCTTAGCGCCTCCCAGTGGAGCAGACCAGTCCAGTCCGTGTGTGGCCGGGGTGTGCTGGGCAAGACTAGAGGCGGCCCAGGCCACCACAGCCTCTGCCCACGTGGGCCGTGGGCCTGCTTAGATAGCTTCTGCTTCCTCCTCCTCTTCAAGGCTCCTTTCATGAAAATGAAATGTTATAACTGTGCCTCGATTTGACAAATGTTGTGTTCCAAAGGTTGTACTCTGTATCAGGGTGCTAATAATTTTGTGATAAGTATTGTGAGGTTTTCAAATATGATATTTCTTTTGGAATGGTTTACTCTGTGTGTGTGTGTGTGTGTACACACACACACACATATATATATGTAAAATCTGTTTTGAAAAAATGGTGCACACATTTTTAACTCTTACATGATTTTTTTTCCCCGAAGAGTAAACTTTTTTAATACCTAGAAGTTAGTATTTCTTCAGTCAAATTTTATAGGAGTTTTGAAAATAATTCTCAGGATAAATGCAAATTAAAGAGTGTGCTCTAGTAAATTAAACCCTAGTTTATCCTAGTTTAATCTTGCCAGAAGGTAGTAAAGGTGCAATGCTATTGTACTGTAATTAGGAGTCCGTATTTCAACTTCTTTTCAAGTTGTTTGGGTTTGACATTCTAAAGCAGTTCATTCATTTGGTGTAATGGGAATGCCATTTAACTAAGTTAAGAACCTTATTTTTGTATAACTGAAAACAAACTTTAATAAGAGCAACCTTTGTTAGTTTTCAAAGTGTACTTTTTAATTAAAAAAAAAATGTAGAGTGTGAGGATGTCATATTATTGCAAAAGTTATATATAGTAAAGAATAGATTGATAACATATACCAACTATTAACCATTCCTGTAGTTTCTCATTTCATATTATCAGTCCTGATTGAAAAACACATTGTTATTTTAGGTTATGTACTTTTAAAGGAGCGCTGCTGGTGGAATGGGTGAGCACTTGGCTGCCAACCAAAAGGGCAGCGGTTTGAACCCACCCAGCGGCTCCACAGGAGAAAGACCTGATAGTCTGCTTCTGTACAGATTACCGCCTAGGAAACCCCACAGGGCAGTTCTACTCTGTCATAGTAGGTCACTATGAGGGAAAAAGGAGCTCTGGTGGCATAGTGCCTAAGGCATTTTGACTGCTAACTAGAAGGGTGGCAGTACAAACCCCCCAGCCACTCTGTGGAAGGAAGACTGGGCTGTCTATTTCTGTAAAGATTTACCACCTCAGAAACCCAAAGGGGGTCCCTGTGAGTCAGAACCGACTCGATGGCAGTGAGTTTGGTTTGGTATGAGTGGAAAAAGGAGCCCTGGTGGCGCAGTGGCTAAGCGTTCAGCTGCTAACCATAAGGTCAGTGGTTCGAACCTATCACCGTCTCCACAGGAGAATGATGTGGCAGTCTCCTTCCATAAAGAATACAGCCTAGGAGACCCTTTGAGGCAATTGTACTCTGTCCTATAGGATTGCTATGAGTCAGAATTGGCTCAACAGCAATGGGGGAATGGGTATGAGTGGAAAATCCTTCAATGGCACTCAACAGCAACAATGTACATTTAAAAATTACTGACAGATTATGCTAGGTATAGAAAAGCAACCTTATGAAATTCAGACTCAGTGTCTTTAGGAATCCGTCACCAGATAACAGGGTGGCCAGTATGCCCTTCTTGGCGATGTCAGCACTGCACAGAGGGAGGAGGTATTTACCATTCTTTCACTGGGGAACCTGGGCAGAAGCCAGGTTGTGGTACTGGGTTTTTACTTGTTTTTTGTTTTCCCAAGTGTGTTTCTCTCTCCCCTTCTAGATCGGGAGGAGTGTGTTTGTGACCCCCTCTTCATCTCTGCCTTCCTTCCCCTCCACACTCTCCTGGTCGAGGGACGAAAGCGCCCGAAGGGTTAAGTACATCCTGAATTGGTTGCTCTCTGGAGGAGGCGGCAGTGCTCATGGGCGCTTTGTGCTTCTGTCCTCCCGTCCTTCTGTCCCTCTGCTCCCTGCCCTTCTGTCGCGCATGAGGCCCTGCTTCTCTCCTGGTTTCTCAGCACAGTGGGCACAGGCTCTCATGCAGACCTAGAGATGCCTCCCTTTCATCTAACTCCACATTGCTCACTTACACGTAATACTTAACAAGGTTCACACATCACCCTGTGGCACTCATTCTGAGCATACTGTCTTTTTAAACAATCGGAAAATTAGCTGGATGCTGGTTAAACATTGTAAGAGAGAAATCCATCAGCTTGTTCAAAGTTACCATTAATCGATCAAAACTAGTATCTTTGGACAAGCTGATGCACTAAAATGCCATACTTTTTTTGTTTCGTTTTGTTTGCCTTTGACATGCTTCATGTTAGCACCATCCTTGACAAACCAGGTTTTTCCAGTCCTTGCGTCTCACATCAGCACTGTGGCCTACAGTGGCATTGGAGGCATGAACAGCTGTTGAGGTGAAGTTGTTCACATGTATTTGTTGGTCAAATCCTTCCTGTTGATGTGTAATTTACATTCTCTATAATGGTACATGACTGGAGTCAGCCTCTTTTGGAGTAGCCTAACAACAACTGTTTATGCCCAGCCATGACCCTGGGTGGCATGATAAAGGTTAGCTGTTCAAACCCACCTAGTAGCTACACAGAAGAAAGGCCTGGCAAACAGTTTCCATAAAGATTACAGTCCAGAAAACTCTGTGGAGCATTTCCACTCTGTAACACACGAAGTTTCCTTGAGTCAGAATCTACTGGATGGCAGGGAGTTTTTTTGTTTGTGTATTTCCCCTAAGCCCAGCCTTTTGGCACATCAATTAATTCACTTATGCGACATGGTCCCTGTTCCCAAAGGTACCTTCAATATCAGATACGCACAAAGAGTCGTTGATTATAACCTAGGAAAGTCATGGAGAGATCGCAGGCTTTGAAGGCCTAAGTTCAAGTCCTGGCTCAATCTTTTATGGAAGGGGAGTGTAATTAAGGTGAGAGACGGGAAGTTTGCTGTTGCTGTGGGGCCATCTTTACAGGCAGTGCCGGGTTTGCACGGGGCCTCCATCCATTCCCTCCACATCAGTGGAATGATGGAAAAATGTTCTTTCCCACTATGTGCCAGATACCTCTTGAAGGTCCTTTTCTTCTCTTAGAACTAGTACACTAAAAGGAAATCTTAATAATGATACTTAAATTTTTTTGATCTGCACTGTTTTTATTGCACTCCAGTTAAACTAAGGGGTAAATAAATAGTAATGCAATGTCCAATTTGAAACTTTGTTCATGGGAGTCAAGCCTCTTTTTTCTGTGTCCGTTGAAATTTGTTTTTGTTTTTTATAAATTTTTGGTAGTTTTGAAAATCATTTCAAGGACTGCTTGCTAAGACAAATTGTTGTTTAAACTGGTAACCCTGATTGTTTCTGACAGCTTCATCCTGAGTTTAGATTGTTACGATGTGTCTGTAATCAGAGAAAATTGCAAATCTGTTTAGGAAACTGAACCAGCACCAGCTAGGAGGTAACTTTTCTATTAACAGCTTTGAAAGAGCAGCACTTTTAACCGATAGAGCTTGCCTCTGCATGTCTACAGTAATTTTCATAAAATAGGATAATGGCTAACTTGAAATCCTGTCCATAGGCTTCTGTGGACAGCAATGAAGGGCTTATGGGGTAAGGCACCGATTGCCTGGGGGGCCGCCACTATATTTGTTTCCTGTTCTTGAGAAATGGTTCTTTCATGCTTTTATGAGCTATACGGGTCGGTACTTCTCTAAAATGCTTCTACAAAACTTGGTACTTTTGATCATTGTGGGGTGATGCACTAGATTTGTGGTTATCTCGCTTACATCAAGGAAAGCAGAAAGACTCGTTATAAAAATGTGGCATTTTCTGCGTTTAACTCTGTTTTCTAGATTTTCCCACTGGAGCAACTCTGGAGAGACTTTCCAGTGTAATTATTTAAATGCAGATTTTTTTACATTGCATTTATGTGTGTGTATAGACCCATACACATGTGTATGTGTGTGTCTGTGTGTGTGTTCAAGGCAAAGAAATAGTTGCACACCCCCTGTGACAGGTAAGAAGGGTGTCAGTGTTTGTAGAGGTCACCTCTGGAAGACCCTGGTTTCACTGTTCCCTGCACTGGCCACGGTGTTGCCCTGGGCCTTCCACCTAGACTTTTAGCACCACTCACCAACCAATTGCTCCTTAAAGCTAAATCAGAACATGGTAGCAGGAGAAACATAGCTACTTGCTGGCAGAAGATGAAGCCAAAGGAATCTTAAACGCTGTAATAGAGTTTGCAAAATTTAATTCTACAGATTTCCTTCCCCATGTGGCTCAAAGCCAACATTCTTAACAATTTGCCAGTTGAATTTGAGTGGGTATAAGTACAAGTTTCTTTTAATTTTAGGATCCCAAAGCAAGTTGATTCTATTAGGGAGAAGTAATAGGGCCTCATAGAGGATGGTGGGAAAATGTGAAAGACCTCAGCAGACAGAGAAAGAAGACATCTGCTCTGGGAGAGGCCAAGAGGCCACAGGGATAGTAAGCACAATGTGTCCACCACGAGGGGTCTTCACCACCTTGCAGGTGGCTGCCATGCCTGTCCCCATAGTGCCTGTCGGGACCAGGCGGCATTATCAGGCATGAGCACATAATCAGACTGCATAGACTTCGTAAACTGGCCTGCTCTAAACCAACCATCCTTCTGCATGATGCTCCAGGGTCTCCATAATTTCATCAGTCTCTTAGTTTACAGCTATTTCCTTAGCCGTATTTTATTGCAGCAACTTCAGAATCCCTTGATCACGTGTTTTAGTTAATTTGGATTAAGTTCAAGATATAGAGCTGGAAATAACTCATATTTATATTTTGCAAGGTAGTCAGTCAGTCCAGGGTTTGAATTATCCTCCATTGTGACTCATAGCGACCCCTCCTTGGGTTTCCAAATCTATGGAAGTAGATTGCCCAGTCTTCCTTCCAAGGAGTGGTTGGTGGGTTTGAACTACCAGCCTTCTGGTTAGCAATCAAATGCCTTAGGCACTACGCCACCAGAGCTCCCTTTTTTTGTTGTTTGTTTGTTTTTGATGTCTGTTCTGGGTGAAGAAATACCCAAACACTATGAATAAAATAAAAACTGATGGAAAATAATTTTTATGAAACACTCCAGAGCTCACCTAGTTTCCTTCAAAGGAACATGGTTCCCTGTGAATTTTGTCACCCTGGAAGGTCCTCTGCATGGCAGTGCTGCCATTTGCTTGAGACATTTTTAGGATTCTTGTTTTGAATCTAAGGTGCTCTCGTGGTATAGTGGTTAAGGCATTTGGCTGCTAACCAAAAGGTTGATGGTTTGAAACCACCAGCTGCTCCACAGAAGAGAGGTCAGGTGGGCTGCTTCGCTCAAGATTTACAGGCTTGGAAACCCAACTGGCATGTAACGATGAGTCGGAATCAACTCGATGGCAGTGAATTTGGTTACAGTTTTCTTTTGAGTCTACATCTCATTTTTGAATCTCTACAGTTGCACCGAATCTATCTCTTTTAAAGGATTGATTTTGTTTGTTTAGAAACAGATAAAAGTGATTTGAAGCCAAGCATCTTACTTGTTTAAAAAGAACACATTGCTATAAATTAGTAAGATTGGTTTTTCTGGGTGGCTCATAAAAGCCGTCTCCGAGGGCTATCCTCATAGAGCCATGGGTGTTTGGTGCAGTGGGGCTCTTCAGAGCCTCAGGTTGGAGGATCGGAATGAGCAGAAAGCAGGAGACCTGGGTTCCTAGCCCTATTTTTCTCCTAATGTGGCCTTGTTGTCTCAGCTGGTGTTCCACCAGGTGAGCTGCAGGTGGCTCCCAGTGCGGAGGGCCTGTAGTTGCTTAAGTTCTGGCAAGGTTTTTTCTTTTTTCTTTTTTTTTTTTTAATGGAGCCCTGGGTGGCACAAATGGTTAAGTGCTGGACTACTAACTGAAAAGTTGGTGGTTCAGACCCACCCCGGGGCTCCTCCTCAGAAGTAAAGCCTAGCGACATGCTTCTGAAAAGTCACAGCCCTGGAAATCCTGGGGGACATATTGCTCGCACAAATGTGGTTGCCATATCTCAGAATCGACTGGAGGGCAACTAACTTTGTCATATTATAGGCGAATTCCCTATTCCACAGAGAGCCGAACACAGGCATGTTTCCTTGGATCTGTGTTAGTTTCTCACAAAGATCTTTTTGTGGAGTAACTACTGAGCTAAGAAGAAAGTGGTATGAAGAAGGAAAAACCATTCTGGATCCATTGTTCACCTTTTACTAAATTTTCAGTAAAAGGTGGGCTTGGGTTCCAGATGAGATCTGGAGCATGAAGGCCATATAGTGTTCACAGGTAATGATTCCTGGGAAAAGCACTCAAGCCATGTCTCATGTTCTAAACTAATGGAGGCCACCTTTTCGTCTTTATTCTAGGCATCCAGGCTGGAGAAGCAGAACAGCACCCCTGAAAGTGACTATGACAACACTCCCAATGACACAGAGCCTGATGACACGGGGTACAGCTGCAGGAAGGGGTGGGGTCTGAAACACCAGAGACCCAGCAGGCCTAAGTGGCACAAACAGTTTGCACTCAACTAGTAACCAAAAGATGGGTGGTTCAAACCCATCAGTAGTACTGCGGAAGATAGGCCTGGTGACCTGCTCCCGTTCAGATTGCAGCCAAGAAAACCCTGTAGAGCGGATCTGCTCTGTGTGGAAGGGGTCGCCATGAGTCAGAATCGACTCACAGCAACTAAGAGCAGCAGCAGACCATTGCAGGAAAAGCCATTCATCACCTGCTTCTCAGACCCATGAAGTCTTAGAATATTCAGGCATAAATTCCTAGTTTGCATGTCTTCTCATCTCCTTTATTATCTCAGAGGCCATTTTTTTTTAAAAAACCATCATGCTATACGTGTCTCTTAATACCTGTAATCTGCTTAAATGCAGCCCTTCACTTCATTTTCAAGCCAACATAAGGTTACAATTGGCATTTGTACCTAAGCAACTGGCTGTGTTGGAGTTGGCTTTACAAAGACGCATCCTCCCCATGTCAGTTATTCCCCATCCCCATTACCCTTTTCTGTGAGGGTCACTTTAGTAAATCCTGGCCCCAGGGGAGAGTGAAACGGCCTCTGTGTGAGCCAGAGCCGTCTCCTGGTGGGATAGCCTTACTGGGGAGCCTCCTGCTGGTGGACAGGCTGCTGTTGGGGCATTCAGCAAACGCAAATTGAGTGGCTGCTAGAGGCCACCTGGAATATTTAGCCCCTCCTGTTTATCTATCTAGCCCCACTATTTCATTCGCAGACCCAGCAGAAAGGGAAAGCAGAGGAGTATGCTGTGGCAGGGTGACAGCTGTGTTCCAAATGCCACAGACCCCCACGCAGCCCCCAGCACCGAGGACGTCATCCGGAAGACCGAGCAGATCACCAAAAACATACAGGAGCTCTTGAGAGCGGCCCAGGAAAACAAGCATGACAGGTGAGGGCTGGGAGTCCTGCGTGGGGAAAACACGCACTGCAAAAAAAAGCGCTTTCAGTTCTAACCAGGTTTATCTCAGTTCACTGAGCTTTATGGTCATTGAAACTTCAGATTTACACAACAGGCTGCAGAAGAAATCTGTAAAGATTGTGTGTCTTTTTTTAACATGAGATATTAGAGTTCATCTTGTGAGGTTCTCTGAGAATAAATGCATCTAGAAATAGAACAGCGATACATAAGGTAGCGATGTTTCTGCTGCTTTGTGGAGAGGATAAGAAGCCACCTCATGGTGTGCGGTGGTTGCTCCCGGCCTCTGCTGTGCCGTGTGACCTTTAGGGAAAAGCTTGCTGTCGTGACCCATATCCTCAAGTGAATCTGGTTCCTTATCTGTCTCCCGCTGTGCACTTGTGTGCGTGCATGTAGGTATATGTGTGTGTGTTTAAACTTCTAAGAAACAAGTGGATTAGAAATGCGAGTTGACCTAATCCTCAGCCATGAGGAGAATCTGTTACTGTGAACAGACCCCTGCCCAGTGGAGTGCCTTCTTCCCGTAAGGAAGGGACTGGCTTTTGTTCTCCGAGAGTGAATTCTCCGAGTACTTCTGGTAAGTAGTCACCCGTTCTGGGTGACGTCCTAGTTTACACACACTGGCCTAGGTTAGACGTATTCGTAAACATTATTTAACACCATGACATTGAATTTGAGAAAGCAGCAGCAGAGTTTGGTCCGTACCCCAAGACAGTCTCGTTCTTCTCCCTAGGTTAGCAAATGTTAGGACTTCAGTGAAGACCTCGTGCTTCGCAGAAGCAAAGTGACTCAAGGAACACAGAGCTGCAGATGCTGTCTTGCCTCTGTTCTCCCTGGCCCAGAAAGATGCATTAGTACCTCCCGGCTCTCTCCCACCTTCCTGGCACTACCGTGTGGCCCTCCCCTTTTTCTCCCTTTCTCCTTTTCTGTGTACAGAGCAGACTTCTCCCAGTGTCCTTTTCCCACGAGCTAAGAAAGGAAAGCTCAGTGTTTACTAAGGGGGAAGAGTGAATCTTCACGGTGGATCATGGTAGGAGCCTCAGAGAAAGAGGACCCTTCCTTCTTTCCAGAAATGACACATCTCCTTGTCCCCCGGCCCTAGTGTCCTCTTTATCCCAGGCCTCTCGTGCCTCGTGTATACTAGGTGTTCAGTCACTTTGCTCAGCTCTGTTACCTGATTCTGTAAAGCGAGTGTTGCACAGCTCTCCATGTAGCCTTGGTCCCCAGAATAATTCCTCCTCCAGTGGTCCCTGCCTCACTTCACATTTCCTCTCATTCAGAAGTGCTGTGCTTGTATTTCCAACTGAAAAATGTGCTTACATGATACTGCTCTCTCTGATAGTTGTCAGAAATATAAATACCTGCCTTGGGGTCATTTCTGGCTCCAGAGATTGCAATATGGTGCCTCCTACAACTTGAGTGGTTTCTTTTCTTTCTTTTTTCTTTTTTAAAATGTACAAATCCATTAAGTCTATTTCATGATCTGATTATTTTTTTAAAGAGCATGAAGAAATGATGCAGAGATTTCCATCGTTAGTTCATTCCTTTAGTTTAAAACCAGACTTGGTCTACAGAACTTCTGTTTCATTGATTGCTTGGTCCTTTTCGAACACGTTTGGTGATTTCCATATCCTAGACACTGTTATTCATAATCTTGCAGTATAGTAATTAAACCCCTGTCTTTCCTTTCACTCTCTCCTTTGTTTGTTTGTTTAAATTTTTATTGTGATTTGGGCGAACATTTATAGAGCAAATCATTTTCCATACAGCAGTTCATACACCTTTTGCTTCATGACGTTGACTACAATTCCCCACAGTGTAACAGCTCTCTTCCCATTTCCTCCCTATAGTTACCTCTTCCCTTGTGCCCTTCTTTCCTATGCACTCCTGCCCCCTGAGCTGTCTCCCTGTGCAAGTACTGCCCTTCTGTTCTCTCATGATTGATTGTTCTAAGCAGTATATATCAACCTGATGTAATTGTTCACCTTATATGCCTGTCTGTTTGGCTGGAGCCACGAGAGCACAATTCCAGACCTGAAGGGTAACTGGGGGCCCTAGTCTTGGCGGTCTCACCAGGCTCAGTCAGACCAGTAAACCTGGTCTTTTTTTATGATTTGAGTTTTGTTTTACCTTGTTCTCCTACCCTATCCAGAATCTCCTGTACTGATCCCTTTCCAGGTGGTTGACAGTGGTAGCCGGGCACCATCTAGTTCTTCTGGTGTCATGGTCATATAGGCTGAGTTTCACATGGTCCACCAGTCCCTTGGATTAATTATTTCCATGCATCTTTGGTTTCCTTCATTCTTCTTTGCTCTGGACAAAAAGAGACCCGTTGTTGCATCTAGATGGCCTCTTGCCAGCTTGTAAGACCCCAGTCACTACTCACCAAAGTAGGACGTAGAACAGTGCTTTTGTGTTAGGCCAGTTGTCGCTCTTTCATTTGTTGATCTGTCCCTTGTGTGCATCCTGGCTTGACCTGTAGCCCAGGCCAGTACACTCAGCCTTGCTCCTGGTTCCCTGAGCCAAGTGAGCCCCTACAGCCTGGCCCCATTTCCTGGGCCTCTGGCTTGCTCCCTACCAGGATCTGTCTGTCTCTCTGTGTCCCTCTTTCTTTTATAGACAGATAGATTCTCTGTCTTTCTAGGGATTACTACATGTTATTCATGAAAACTTTTTTGAGGAAAGATACCATTTTGAAGTTGCAAAAACGAACCACCTCCACCCCCCCAAAAAAAGAACTTCCTGTGAGAGCAGAAGAGGCCTTCTCCTTTATCTGCCTGTGCTCGTTTTTGTGGCTCGTCGGGTTTCCCACAACAGTTTGCATGGAGTGACTGTGTCAGGGACGTCCGTAGGAGACATTTCTTCTCTGTGGAGGGTGGGGAAGGGTGGGTTGTATCTCCAGGTAAAAATGGAAACTATAACTGGTGAAACAGGCCTCTCGTGCACATTCTCAGTGAGATTTGAGATGTGCCTGCTAGGTCAGGAGATCCCCTCATGTGACTGATTGCTATGGCTGCTGCCTTTGTCCGAGTGACTGTGCCACCAGAGGGCTTGTTGCCCCTGCATGTTTACAGGCTAAATACCTCCTTACATGTTGGCATTTTTGTTAGTACGTGGTCTGTGGTTTTCATTGCTCTCAAAGGGAGCCCATGACCATTAGAAAAAGGTAAAAGTCAGGGTTTCTCATTTGAAGGCATTTTTGGATAATCGAAACCATTTCTTGACATGTAACAGTTTAATTAAAATGTAGTGCATCTTCATTTAAATAGTTCTGGTACTAAATTTTTTATGAAGATGAAGAACAGAGGTTGCTTATGACGATCTTTAAGCAGAAGCCAACTTCATGGTTTAAAAAAAATGAAAGACAATGTTACCCGATGGCTTTAAGGGCTAGGATAGATGCTGAGCAGTGTTGGGTTCTGTATCTCAGAAGAAAAGATTACAGAATACTGCCACAGGGGTTCTTGTGTAAGGGCAGACTTATGCTCTCACAGCAGTGTTTCCTAATGTGCTATCATCAGGCTCCTATGGGAACTTCCTGGGTCAGGGGTCAGTCTGCTAAAAACAAACCCAGGCTTGGTGGCAGTGTGGTAGCTACGAACCACCATCATTCTGTTTTTGCCCTGGCACTTTGTTATGCGTGCTGCTCAGGGCAGAAACCCAGCCCATTTGACACCATCACAGGACTAAGGGAAAGACTTCTGGGTTCTTCCACTTCTCCTAACCTAAGAAATCAGAATCACCAGCCAGCAGTGGACACTTGCTGTCGTGAGAGAGAGAGAGAGAGAGGACTCTGTCGGGAGAGGCCTGTGGGGCAGAAGGAAGGCTCTTAGCCTCTGGCACTGGGTACAAGGCTTGAACTCTTAGCAGCTGTGGGACTGTGGACAAATTCACCTCTCTGGGTCCTAGCTTTCTCATCAGGAAGGTGGGCTGTTGGGAAGATCAAGTGAGTCCTCCGTGGAGACAGAGCCTGGCACCATGGCAGTGCTCCTTAAGCATTCCCTCTGGTAGGGTCACCAGCCTGGAAGGAAGGATTGGACAGGCAGATGTCATGCACCTGGTTGCACCTGGTTTCTGAGAGCCCATCAGTGAACTGGGAGCGTGCTGCCTGTGATGGGCCAGTTGCTGGGGATTGAGTTCTATTCCTGGTGCCCCCATGTGTGTCAGCATAGAATTGTGCTCCGCAAGGTTTTCAGAGGCTGAATTTTTAGAAATGAGGTCTCCAGGCCTTTATTCCAGTTCCCTGCAGGTGGATTGGGACCTCCAGCTTTCAGCCAACAACTAAGTGTGTTAACTGTTGTGAGCACCCAGGGACTTTGTTTGCCTTTTTATTACAGGCAAGAATATGGCACCTCCTTGGAAAAGTAGAGGAATGTCTGGACAAGTGTATGAAGCTGACCTCAGTGTTTTCTCCTGACACAAATAAGAATTTTGATCTCCCACCAGTTCAGAGGCATTTGAGTGGAAGGAGTTTAGAAGTGCCCATTGGTTAAATGCCACATGGGTGTTAAGGTGGAGGCCCCAATTTTAATGTCAAGAGATTTTTTTCTGGCCCTTTATTTTTTGCCTTCTGTGGCCTTTTGGCATGGGAGTCTTTGTTTCTCTTTTAAGAAATCGGGAATATCAGACATGAGAAATAAACGACCAACTTGAGGAGGCATGAAGATCTTTAGATGCACCTGCTTTGTGGCTTCACCTGCCAGTACTGTATGTTGCCTGTAGATGGTTTTCATCTGAGAGACTGAACCTGGGAGAAAGTTGGGGAACCTGCTTTATCAGCTTGTGCCTGATGGTTGAGTGTATGCATTGTGGCCCCTCGGTCACAGCCTCAGGCCCGTCATTAGGGGGCAGTCTCTGAGGTATTTTGACCATCACTGAATAACCTCTTCACTATTCTTCCAGTTACATCCCCTGCTCAGAGAGGATACATGTGGCTGTTACAGAAATGGCAGCACTGTTCCCCAAAGTAAGTCACTTCCTACTTGCTTGGTTCCGATCCTTTGAAATGAGCTGCGAGAAATTTCTTTATGACCTTTATATTATATTGACGTTTTTGTAGCATGTAGAGAGCTTTAAGTACCAGTCATCTGTTTTTTGTGCTACTTGATTATTGGTTTTAATAAGCCAAGTGTGTACAGGTCAGTGGTAAAGACAAAGCATTACTAGAATAAGATTTTTGCTGGATGAGTTCACGCAAGTGAATTAATAATTCCCAAAAATATTAATAGCACAATACAGTACTAATACTCCACTGCGGTCCCCAGGATCATTGAGTCTGAACGCTTCAGCATCTCTTACCCTGTGGATTGCAAGGCTTCCGGTTGAAAAAGTGCATGACAAAACTGCCCTGCACCTTCTGGAGCACCTTGAGCTGTTTTCAGAAGCACGCTTGTCCGTTGCTCTTGGGTATCTGACTTCCAGTTCACAGCCAACGGCCGTTTCTCTCTCTTTAGAAACCCAAGTCCGACATGGTGAGGACTTCCCTCCGTTTACTGACATCCAGTGCCTACCGCCTCCAGTCCGAGTGCAGGAAGACCCTTCCTGGGGACCCTGGCTCCCCCACGGACATTCAGCTGGTCACTCAGCAGGTCATCCAATGTGCATATGACATTGCCAAGGCCGCCAAGCAGCTGGTCACCATCACCACCAAAGAGAACAACAACTGAGGCGTGAGCGGCACCGTCCCTCGGATTCTCTGGACTTTTTTTTTTTTTCCCTTCCAATTTTCTAGGCTTTTTAAAGTCCCATTTCAAATTTAGACATGGGCCTTCTCCCATTTTTACAAAAACAAACATTTAATGACATTTAAAACTTTTTAAAAGAAAGTTCAGTATTATTTTTGCATGTTTTCTAACAATTTTTTCAATTCTCCATTTAACCCACTTGCCTTATTTTGTGCCTGTTTGCGGTTTAGCTTCTCATTCTTTGTTGTGTTGTCGTCAGTGATTGTTAACCGTCACTTCCATCCAACAGCATAACTTCATCGTTTTAAGGTTTGTCAGGACTTCATCCCTTAAAAATCCCTGCCTGTGGTGAAAACTATAAATGAGGTTTTTAGTAAAACATTTTCTTGAAAGAGTCAAGTGAAAATACGTATTTGTGTTAGAGTTACCTGTTCCCTCCTAAGCATTGTGCAATAAGTGAATTTCCCAGTCTACGGCAACATCTCTTAAGTTTGGGGTATCTCCAAGCACATACATAGAGAAGAACTTTGATACCTTCTAAAAATAACATTCACAGTCTCTCTTGGAAGGAAACGATGAATTGCTCTATTTCTTTTTGCTGCTCTCTCATGTTAAATATTCTTTATTTAATTTTTTTACTTGATCTCTCACTTTCTATTTGGCTGTTACCTTAAGTCTCCACGGAATCAGATAAAGCATTTTTACCTCCCCACTTCCCCCTCATTGTGTCCATTTAGCCATGTTCAGAGCAGGGGTGCCACCCTAATGTCACTATGGGTCAAGTACTCTTCCTTCCCTCTGTCAACCCAAACTTTTATCCAAAACATGCGGCAAAGAGGAGCACAGGCCGAACAAGCCATAGTGAATTCTTTGCCGCCCACCCAGATATCACTGCCATGAACTGTGTGGGAGAGGACTGTCTACTCCTTGGCATTGTGTTGCACCTTCATCCAAAATTCAGTTCCTCCTTTAACCTCTTAAAGATTTCTCACATGACTTGCTTCCCGTTTTTTGTCACCTTTTAAGGACTTCTTTTAAGGTAAGATTTTTGCAATCATCTGAGTTCATTTCTTCTCCATTGCTCCATTGGGACTTAAAAATTTGAGATCAGCTTTCCAGAACTCCTTAGGAAGTGTGCTCTGGCTGCCTACCGCTATTCCAAAGGTATGAAGGAATACAGGTGTAAGTTCCGGGACTTGCTGAAATTGTTTTTATAAATCATTGAAAAGACCTTTCTTGTTCTGAATATTAAAACCTATTCCTGTCCCTGCTCATTGCAGCAGTTTTGTATGGGTGTTTCAGACCCTGACAGAGACCAGAGGGGCTGGGCAGAAGTCCAGGTGATTGGAGGAGAGACAGCAGGAAGCCCTGCAGGAACTTGGGCCTGAGGTTGCCGGAGCTTTGATTTTTCAAGAGACACCTGAAATCTGGACTCTCTGGTGCCATCTCTCCATCTTTAAAAGTTGGCAATTAATCTAAACATTTTAATAGAACACATGCAGGGGGAGCTATGGCCTATAGGCTGCCAGCTCTCAGCCTGGTTTAGCCTCTGAGCCTTACCTGGCACGTAGCCGCCCTGCCCTGTCCAGCTGCTGCTAGTCCTCTTTTTAACCACGCATTTTATCCCATGGTCATCCACCACGTGAAGAAGTCAAAATAGTCAAAGTACAAGTTGCCTCTACGTTCACAGAACTGTTTGATTCATGAACGACTTTACAGTTTGACCAAATGCTGTCATGACTATAGCACCACTGCGGTGTTTCGTTTACTAAGTTGTGTGTGGGCACTTTTGTTGGGTTTTGCTCCAGTGTGAGTAGCCTGGGGAAAGGGCTCACATCTCTGAAAGATTGATCCCACTTGTGTCTCTGCACATCCCTAAGTGCCCCGATTGTCAGGTGCTGAGGTGAAGCTGCAGGTGGAACTGCCTTCTTGAACTACCTGAGGTTCAAGCACCATCTTATGCCCCTTTCTGCATGCTTCGTGTCCTTAGCTCTCTCTCTTTCTTGCGAACACCTACCCTCCTGTTGGACCTGCCCAGGTCCTCAGGAAAGGCCCAGTAGCAGTCCTAAGGATGCCAGGGAGGATGGGCGTCCACAGAGGCTTCCAAGAAATGCGTTGTTTGCAGAAGGTAAAGCAGTGTCTTCACTTGGAACTCTCGAGGACCTATGATACAGGACATTTGATTTATCCCCCTAGAGAAAGCCAAGGTACATGGGGACCAGCAAAGCACATGGAGGTGTGAGAATCCCACAGAGGAATGTGCTCTGCTAACTCACAGGCCACCTTGGCAAAGAAGTGGCTGGCTGCAGCCGCCCCGCTCATCAAGTGCCCTCACACTTCCTTAACCTGACCTGAGAGTGTGCGTCCAAGGCTCTGCAGTCCTGCAGGCAATTCGCACCTTGTCTGAACGCCTGTTCTAGAAGGCCACCTTTTGCACATGGATTCCACAGCGTTGCACTAGTAATGTCTGCGTCCTGAAGTCTGCTTTTACCCTTTATTCTCAAATGCCCGCCACCCCCGGAAGCTGATGGGACAGAGGTGCACTTTATGAAACTGGCACTTGCTGAGCAGAAGGTAACAGCTCTATCCTGAAGGTTCATTAACTGAAATCATCTTCTGCCATGGAAATGCAAATAGTTCTTGTTTCCCAAAGGACAATGAGTTGGGCCCAAAGATCAAACACAGCATTTTATAAAATTGGAACCTTAAGCTCACAACCCAGTAGCTAGCTGTTCCACAGCCCCTGAATGATCGGAACTGCAGAACTCAGAGTGAAACTAGCTTGCTTTTGTCCTCGGCAGCATCCGTGCGCATTCCAACAATATGATTTGATTTCTCTCCTTGTCCCAGTTGAAGGCAACCCTTCTTTTCACAAAAGAATATGCTGCATAGGAAAAATGAAATGCCTTTTACTCAAATGTGTTTTATCCATGTCACTCATTCTGTACTTATTTTTCATTTTTATTGTACATTCTCTTCCTGTAATTATTGTGCAACCCTCTAAGTGTTGTAAAATTGTTTGGGAATTTGTGCCTGCTAGTTATGCAATAAACAGGCTGTGTAAGTGTCTCTGTGGCAATGCTGGTGTAGTTGTCAGGTGCTGGCAAATCAATTTTCAACCCATAGCGACTCCACGTGACAGTAGAACTGCCCCATAGGGTTTTCTGGGCCGTAATCTTTCTGGAAGCACATCACCAGGTCTTTCTCCTATGGAGCCACTGGGTGGGTTCGAACTGCCAGCCTTTTGGTTAGCAGCCAAGTGCTTATCCATTGTGCCACCCAGGCTCCTTAACAGTGAGTGCCATGCTCTCCACCAGTTAGTTGATGTTTCTTTTCCTGCCAGGTGCTGTCAAGTCAGCTACTCAGTAAACCCCACACAGCACCAACTTTATTAAGAGGTGGTGTGTGATGCTTCCTCCCACAGGGTTCTGTCAGTTGTGAGTAATAATGGCCTTTTCCTCTGTGCTAACCAAATGGCTTTCTCAAATCCTGCATCAGGATATTAGTTCCACGTATCTTACGATGCATTTGCTCCCCAAGTTTGAGTTTTTAAATACAGCTAAAGGTGGCTGAGCACAGGTGTGTGTCCCTCTTTTTCACAGGTGAAAGGGTCATGGAGTTGACAAATAGATGCATGGCTGGGTTCCTCAGGGCCATCCAGGCTCCAAAAAATTGTCTTCTGGAGAGGTGGTTTAGGATTCTTCTCCCGAATGGAAGAACGGGCACCACCTCCAGGTAGAAGCTGGGAAAGATGGAGCTCCCTGCCTCACTGTGATCACACTGGGTGGCAGGATGTTCGTGAGGGGCCAGAGCCAGCAGGGCAGGTATGGCCGCTTACACTAGGCCGGCCTCCTCAGGCAGCCGTCCTCCGCCAGCTAGCATCAAACCCCTGGAGGGCCTGCTAACAAAGACAGGGTGCTGGGGGGCCTGCTGACTCCGCAGGTCTCAGGTAGGCCCTGAGAAAATACATTGCTAAGAAGTTCCCAGGTGATGCTGATGCTGGTGGTCCCAGGACCACGGTTTGAGAAGCACTGCCGTTTTCAGGCCCCTTGTGTTTATAGTATAATAATGACAGTTCACATTGACCTGTTCACTCTGTGGCAGGCACTGTGTAAGCACTTCAGCTGTATTAGCTCATTTCATCCTCACTCCAACCCTACATAGTAGTAGTTCTTCCCATTTTACAGATGAGGAAACTTGCATATGGGGGGCATTAGTCACATCAGGGGAGGGTGGAAGGCCCCTTTGTGCTCAAAATATGTTAGCTATTGTTTGTCTAGTTTGTCTAAACTCAAACTCACTGCCATCGAGTCAATTCGACTCACCGTCAACCCTTCTTTGGGTTTCCAGGGCAGTATCTCTATGGAAGTAGATCGCCCAATCTTCCGAGGAGTGGCTGGTGGGCTTGAACCGCCAGCCTTCTGGTTAGCAATCAAATGCCTTAGGCACTACGCTACTAGAGCACTGTTAGGGTCCTGAAAACATAGCTTGGCAACATTAAAGAGGAACATTTTTGACTGCTAACAAAAAGGCTGGTAGTTCAAATCCACTAGCCACTCCTCGGAAGGAAAACTAAGCAATCTATTTCTGTAGAGATACTGTCTTGGAAACCCAAGGAGGGGTCGCTGAGTCGAATCGACTTGACAGCAGTGAGGTTGGTTTTTTTGGTTTAACAATGCCCGAGACTGACCAGTCCCAGAGAGACCTTCACCGCCTGCATGTGGAGGGGGAGCTGCTGTGCTTCCTACACTGAGGTGGCCTGAGAGCTCTATTCTGGCACGGGACCCCCGAAGCTCTAGCTCTGAGAGGGGCAGGTGGGCTGTGTGGGACTACAGAAATAAATGGCTTCCATAGCCCCATCAGGGTCTGTGCCCCTCAAAGACTTGGGGCCCCTCGAGTCCCCTGGTGCCTGCACCTCAGTGATGTTTGCCCGGAGCTCCTGTCCACAGACTCAGGCCCCTGAGGGCAGCATCCATGTGGTG